AAGCATTGTTTCTAAATTAAATATTAAACTACAGTAAAAAGCATAACACCATTTTTTTTCTATTAAATTTAACCTGAAACCCGCCAGCAACACATGTCGCAGTTCATAGGTCTTAATAAAATAAAAAATAATACTACCTTAGTTAAATACCTACATAACAACTAATACAAAACATCTTCATTTTAATCTACATTTATCAGGTAGCCTAAGTCTGCAGGGATTTTCGATGGCTTCCTGACATATCACTTCACACTCAACTCTGCCAGGATGGCGTAGTGGTTTAAGCGATCACCTTTCTACTGTGCTGAGTTTTGTGGGTTCGATCCTCATATGGGACAACACCTTTGTGTGTTCCATAAATTGTTGTTCCGAGTCTGGGTGTTCTTGTGTTCGTTTTATGTATATTTTTATAGTCCCCTGCGACTGGATTTGTTTGTTTGTTTTTGTCAAAAAATAAAAACAAACAAACAAACTTTGGTCAGATGATAACCCGAAGGGATTTAAACACGATAAAAAAAATAGTACTTTACAAAACATGATTCTTTTTAGTCAACCTTTACCAGTACCTAAATTCATTTGAAAATGTTTTCTCCCAACATTTACCAGGATATAGTCCTCCTATTCCAGGTATCTTTTACGTCAAGTAATTAATATAGACCCTTGTTAGAGTGTTTACTTTGAGGTTAGTAATGAAAATGGCAAAATTTTCGCTTTTACATTGCTGTTATTACATTGTTACGTTAAATTAAAATCTGATTTATGCTTTCAAAGGTACAGATTTGTGGATAACCCTTTGAACATTTAAATGAGTTTATGCGGACAAAGCTTCATATGAAAATACACAGAAATTTCACGTGAATATATCAAATTTTCAGTTCAGTATTTTTATGATACAGGGTGTAATGACGGGTCACCTGCATATACAATTCAAGAATAACAAGTGCAATGTCGGTCTTTGAGGCAGAAATGTGGTCTTTTATTGAGGTTTAAAAGCTCCCGAAGTGCCGTGCTATGCCTGTGCACAACCATTGCACAGAATGGTTGTGCACGTTAAAAAGTTAAAAGCAGCGGAAATAGGCTGAAAGAAAGTACAAAAAGTTTTATTTTAATCTGTCCCAAGTCTGTCTATAAATTTAATAATACATTGTTACTAGAGTTAGCAGTCATAAATTTAATTGCAGAAATGTTACTCTATAACGTTTAAATCTTGGCAAGCGTTGCACTACTGACGGGACTATTAGTTTGACTGTCATTAAATCAATGTCCGACAATTCTAGGCTTATGACAATAACAGTTAGTTTATTACGTTATATATGCCCATTATTAAAATTGATGATTACAGAAGCTACCAAAATACGGATTTAGGGACACAAGTAAACTAAAGAAACTATGAACATGTGTGTGGTTCAAAATGTATGTGCAGGCTTAACACCGACAAGAAAGGTCGGTTTGCCTCTGACCTTGACCCCGTGGGATCTAAAACTATATCGTGTTGTATCGTCGAAAGACATTCATGAGTAAAACCGTTTATCGTTTATACATGTGTTTATCTCCAACTTAAATATTGGCTCTGTGTCAGATTCCAGATTTTTGTATATCGTTCACATGTGGGAAGAATATACTGGAACACTGAACGTGATTATTATTGTACCACATTCACACAACGCCATCTAGTCCATAACTAAGCAGAGCTTGTATTATGGGTACTAGACAACTGATATAAATACATATATCTTTTCTTTTGTAAATACATACATATTATACATAGAAACACCCAGACTAAATCAAACATTAAATGTACAATTAAACACAAATGTTTAACTTAAGCGGGAATCGAACCCACGACCTTTGGAATAGCAGTCCGTTACACAAACCACTACGCCATCCGGTCGTCATAGCTATAACGATGTTAGGTGATTTCATACCTTTCTAAGGAGAGGCCTATGTCCAGCAGTGGACTATTAGCGGCTGTTGATGATGATGATAGTGAAGTAGTGGGTTTCGATTGGTGATTTTACCATATCCTCCAAATTGTTATGAGAACTATTTAGTTCACAGGTTGGTTGGTTTTGAAATTTTTTTTTTTTAAGAGAACTCCCGCATCTGGAATAAGTATATTCTGTGTCGCGGGGGACTTTATAAACATACATGAAACGGACACAAAGAACACCCAGACTCAGAACAACAATTTGTGGATCACACAAAGTGTAGTCCATGTGGAGATCGGACCCACAGCACTCAGTATTTTTATTTAGTATTAGTAAGCGGCGTGGCGACCGCTTAAAGGTACGCCATCCGTGCAATGATATTCAATGATAAAAGTTAGTGATGATAAAAGTGAGTGATGACCAGGGAATCAATCTTAAAAAAATAGTAATATGCAGTACAGCTCGAAAAAAATTCCTAACATTGATAGTTTACATTCTATTTTTATGTATATAACGGTAATAATAACTTCACACATCTCACACGTGGCTGTCTGATCCCAAACTAGGCAGAGCCTGTGCTATGGTAACCAGACAGCTGATGAAAATACTTATATATTTCTTATTAATATTTTTATAGAACTTATTTTATTTTAGGTATTCAATTAAAGGTTAATATATTTATTAATGTCTATTTATAATAGCTTTATAAAATAATAGAATAGCTATCATCATTTTTAATTTGTCTACAAATTCATTTTTAAGAGTGGCCAAATGCGTTTATTAATTTTAAATCTCATAATAAGAATGTTGAATTGAATTCAATGCTTACCAAAGCATTCAGTAAAAAGACAAGTTTACCCATAATCGAATAAAACACAAAAGATCTTAGAGAATACCTACCTACATTTAACTGCGCGGTGAATAATGACAGCAATCATTTAAGGTCGCTAACTGCCGACGCAATTTCATCAAATCGCAAGTCACTCCATCGGATCAATCAACTTCGATCAGCTTTCAATAAGGTAATTCATGGCAACACAATATTCTGTCGAAGGGAGTCTACGTTCGTTCTATTTAAACGTCGTATTTCATTTAGACTTAAAGAAGTCAAACATGTTTTGAAATCAACTAACTCTGACTGTCGGTGTGTTAACTTTTTAAAGCTAAACCGCTGATCCTGATAAAAGCAAGCTTTTGTTAATTAGATGATGAAAAATATTTCAAATAGTATTTTCAAGACTACTACTCGTAATGCTGTTTTGCAGTTAAGTGCGAAAATAATACTTTTTTAAATTGAATCTATTTCATTTGCATTAAAAATGTTTAACACATTTTTTTTGTATTTTTACCCAATAAGATAAATTGTTACGACTATAAAACACGGTAAGGTTTCTTAGGCTTTCTGTAAGTGAGTTTGTGTGTGTGTCAGAGAGAGAGATTTTTCACCTGACCTGTAAATTGAATACAAACAGAAATTTGCTTTACCCGATCTCCTTTAAGGTCTCCCTCGTTTTAAGGCTTGTAGTTAAAAAAATAATTATGAATAAATTATCTTCATTGTAAGCCGGTTCAACTGTTTATAGACAGTGTAAAGTATTTCTAAGTAAATTACTTACAAAGACTTAATATTCCAGTAAATCCAATTTCCTTAAGTGACATTGATAGCTCAAAGAAAAAACTCTTAAGCGACTTCGTAGTAACTTTACAGACGGGTGATTCACTTTCAAACGATCGTGTCAGTTAAAACCTTCTGCCTTTGAAGCAACGGTATGACGGTTATAAAATATTATGTTCAATTTAAAAAATATATTATAAGAATTTTTGGCTTCTAAAAACGCTATTACCTAGATATTGCTCTATATATTTTTAAATTGATACAAATGCGCAAGAACACGTTAGATATTTTTACCCCGTAATGATTATTACAAAAAGCTCATTTACCGAAAAACTAGTCGAGAAAAAGCTAAATCACCTTAAAGATCTGAATCGTTCTTACCCAAGCTTATATAGCCTTTTTCAACGACAACATTCGCTTATTTTCTTTTAAGGAAACTAAAATAAATGTACGCCCATTTATTGAGAAAATTGTGCGTCTGTATAAAAGGATTCAATTTATCAACATTTATCCAATCAAAGTTCTTCTAGATTCGATTAATTCTATTTTCATCTGAAGACTCATCTTTTATGAACTATGTAATATGGGTTATATTATTTCACTGGTTCTTTAACTCTATAGTTTCTACTGAAGTTAATGATAATGATGATGATGAATATAATTACGAACATCCGTAATTATATTCATCGAAAATACAACACATATATGTTAGAAATACACTATAACTATAGTTTGAAACATTATTTGTGTGACGTGAAGAAGACCTGAGCTGGTAGAAATTTTAATGTGTGTACATTCACAAAGAATAGGTTCAAATACTACTGTGTAGTTTTAAGAAACATTCAACGTAAAAAAAAAAGATACGGTCGTTTATGGCGCAAAAAACGCATATTTCGATACTCTCAAGGGAATCAAAATTTATAGGGTATTTTCCGTTACCTGGTTCCCCGGCTATTAGTACCCGAGACGGCGTGCGGTTTTAGTCGGTTCGAGTCCGACATGCCACCGACAGGTGGTATCCGAGGGGATTTCCGCACGGAAAAAAAAAAGTAGGGTATTTTCCGTTGACCTAGAACTATGAAATTTGACAAGTAATACTGTCTTATAATAAGTATAGGAGAAAATCTGAAAACTATACATTTGTAATTAAATAAAAAAAAAAACAGGGTCTTTATACAAGGGAAGGCTGTCCAAATTTTGAATTGAGTTAACCGTGTCATGTGGGGTATTGTATGGAAAGGCTTCATTGGCACAAGCTTAAACATATTTTTAATTATTTTTATAATATATAGTTTTCGATTATAAATTTGTACGGAACCCTCGGTGAGTGAGTCTGACTTTTTTTTTTCTTCTCATTCTTACTTTTTTTGTATAAGGTTACTCAAGAACTTGGAGAGCCTTATAGAGTAGCTCAATGACTTAAACCTATACACTACAGTTGATTTTAAGACCTTTTGATGTTGATAAAAACTAACAGATGTTATAAACCTGTACCTTTCTCCCGGGCTGCTGATGAGGCAAAGGTGGCGGTGCAATCAGCCTTAGCGGAGGCGGCGCTGGCGGCAGGGCAGCCAACAATGGGGGCACCAGCGGCACAACACCCCCCATGGGGAGGGCGACCGCAAATTTCTGCATCCCCATCGTCCCCATTGTCCAGGGTAAGAACCAACCCCCGCCCGCCTGCATCGCCCCCCCTCCGGGACCGTACCACGCCAGCGCGATCAGCTACCTTCACCCCACATGAACACTACACTATTATCGTTGAGAGGTTGTGAACATAAATTTTGTTTTGACACTTCACTGATACCTGTGAACAAAGAAAACGCATTGTTAGAAAATGTACGTACGTATATGACTTTTTGGTAAATTAATACAGAGACCAAAAGAAAATATCCCAGAGCCCATTATATTAGAGAGAGCACATTATATTTTCGAATAGAAATGACGACGCAACGGCGACAAATTTCTGACTAATGCTTCTTTAAATAGCTATAAAATTATATCATACAAATAGAAATTCACATAATTCATTGGCCACATTTTATCAATTTCAAAGAGCTTTACCTATCTTAATTATATATATTAAATCGAAATAACGAACAATAACAAAATAACATTACTTTTCAAAATAACTTTCTAATCAAAACCACTAATCCAACACAATGAGATTTACGAAATAAATGAGTTATGTTAGCAGTGTCGACACGTCGTATTAGATTCACATGTCCCTAAATAGAAAGCAGGTTTTGCCACTGAAATAGAGGTCTACACACTGAGCCAGTTTTTGTACCACAACCAGTATGTGATTATTTTCTTAACTAGGTAGACTTCGTGCAGTAGAAAATTATAAGCTTCGTAGACGAACTATTCAAAATCCTAGTTTGAAAATGATGAACGTTTAGTTATTTCTTTTATGGAAGCAAATTGGCAAAAAAGAATAATGCCCACCCTAAAGGCATGGCGAGGCGGGTGAGTGAGATACCCATGGTCTTAAATAATAATAATATTTTCACACATTTCACTCATGGCCGTCTGATTCCAAACCAGGCAGAGCCTGTACTATGGTATAAAATTACTTATACGAGTATATTTTTTAAATACATACATATAGATGAAGTACACCCCGACACAGAAGTAATGACCGTGCTCATCCCACAATTATTTGTCCTGGGTGGTAATCGAACCCACGTCTTCTGGCATAGCAGTCAGGGTCACTTACCACTACATTTAAAAAAATATATTAATGCGTCTATAGGCGTTGAACATCGTACAGCAGCCAATCCAAAGGGAGACAACACACAAGGGAGGGTGCATAGGCAGCGGTCGTTACTTACATTTTACATAAATAGTAAATAAATGAAAAACATAATAATAAAAACTTTACAACTCTTGTTCTTTCAACGCTTATCGTTTTTAGTTTATTTTACTTGAGTTGCAGGCGTTCATGGGCAGTGGTAGTCGCTTTCCATCAGGTGACCGGTCCGCTCGTTTGCCCCCTATTCCATAAAAAAAATAAGATTAATAAGCAACATTAGTAGTAACAAAAGTGTCACAGATATGTAATACACTAAATACTTTTCCGATCGAACCTTCACCATACAAACGTGCAATTCAAAAACTCAAATTCTAAAAAAGAGGAGCCAATTCCATTTGTTTCTTGTATATCGGAAACGTCTCCTCACGTAGATCAAAGGGATTGCGACTGTCTGTGCGTGTGGTTATTGGGGCGTAAAACTGAAAGAAAACGCCTGAAATAACACACGTCAATGTAATAAGAACAGAAGTATATTTCAGTGGAATAGGTGGAAGGAATTAACGTGGGGCTTTTGTGTCAAAATCTGAGCAGTGTTGCCATCTGTCATTGTAGAATTAACTGACAGACTAGCTAGACTGGTGGATATAGACAGGTTATTGAAATGGAAAGTAATATTTAACCATAGAAGAGCTTCACTTGTGTTCTCAAGTTGACGTATAGACATTTTGCTTGATAATTTTTGCTGTATAATAATACATTTCTGATGTCTAAATATCTTAATTCTAACGTATACAAAGCATTGATTTCATAATAATCACATAACCACTAAAAAAGTTTTATTGTAGCTAAGAACACCATTGATGAAGCAACCTTTTAAACAAAACGAATAAACGAAGTTAAAATTGGTGTATCGGTATATAATTCTCTTTGAAAAAAAAAATCCTGCATTAAGAATGATTGTGATGTGACGCGTGGGGTTGTTCAAACAACATACAATAACTAGGCTCGGGGAAAATATTTGTTCACCATTCGGCGCGACTTAGAGTCGTCTATTTAATCATTGCGCCATCTAGGAATATGTATAGTATACAGTTTTACAAAAACTTAAATGTTTCAACTCTATTAACGTACACGTATTTTGTATAAAGTAAAACTACTCTCCGTGTTATTTTAGTGTGACGTTAGCAAAGCGTGTCTGAGCTTTAAACCCGTGAAATTGAAAGGGTCTCCAATTAGCAGTCTCGCGGTACCATTTTAATTTGTTTGGCTGTAGCTTTTTGTACTGTGTAAACTATACACTATATTACACAGAGAGTTTTGAAACTGCTCATAAGGTTGAACAGGCTAAGCTGTATTTTAATATACACTTGTTGCTTTACGAATGCTGAAGTTTTTTATCAAAGCTACAAATCAGATTAGTGTAGATAATAATGTTGTACTATTTACTAAGATTAGTGAAATTACACTCAAAAGTGAAAAGATTTTATCACGTTTACGTCAGACAAAGTAAAGCCATACAGACAATACAGTCCTATGATCAAATCTATGATAATGTAGGCTGCATTTCTATAGGTATGGTTGGTGGCTATAAACTAAATAAATATTTTGGAAAAATTGTTTAAATTGCCCATAACCCTATGGAAGTTACGAAGATTATAAAACCTTACTACGACCACGCCAAAACCTCGTATCAAACACTTTTCACTTCAGACAAAAATGATTGAGTGAGTAGAATTAGGAGTCTTTGTAAAAATCACCGAAGACTGTTTCAGCAATTCTTTAATCTTTCTAAAGATTTGAATCATTTTATGTAGGTAACGAACAAGCTTATTTTTAAAATAACCAAGGATCGTCGTCTTGATTCCGGTCCAAGAATCTAAACAAAGACAATTATATCTAGTGTGACGAAAATGATTTCATTCGTATTCTTTTATAATAAAAATAGTTCAGACTACTGAAATTTTTACTTCGACGAATGACGTAATCTTTGCAGCAATGAGTGACAATTCTTTTGAGGAGATTTTTTTAGATTGTCATGAATTTGACAGCTAGTTTCGAGTTATCGGTGTAATTACAGAGTAGTTTTCTTTTTCAATTTTTTGAAATGTAAAACTTTTGACGTTCTGTGCTCTCTCTTACTTAAAATACTTTAGTAACCATTAGTGACCATGGCGATATTTACAGTGACGTGTGTACTTGCATCGCATCTCACTCACGTTCGTCTGATTATAAACTAGGCAGAGCCTATAGTAACCCGAATGCTTATAAATACACTTATATACTTCTAAATACACAAATATTATTGACAAATTACAAAACGGCACAAAATAAATTTTCGTGCTCATCACAGAATCTTTCAATTCTATCAAACCTTTGGCTGTTTATCTTGACAACTGAAGTCGGGAAAACGTTTCGATGGGGCGGTGTGTCAGAAAATCTAACCAGATACCAGACGATGTGCTATACTGGTGCTTAAAATAGGAGGGATCCGGGTATAGCCTTTATTAAGACATCTAGTCCCCTCCTACCGCTTGCTTGCAAAAGGCACCTGACCACTAAACCAACATATGAAGACATTGAATTCACAGAACCAAACAATAAATTGTTCAATAATTTATGCGTTTACGCTGTACCGAGTTATTTTGTTCAAAAATAAACTTAGTTTTACGGTAGCCAATGTTTGACAGCTAGTCTCTGTCAAGCTGTAAACGTCATGAAACGTGCTTCAATGGTTTTATGGCGTTGTAAAAACAATTTGGCGGTAGCTTTATTCTTCTGTGTTGTGTGTGATGTGTGTAAACATTCACAGGTACAATAAATAATGGCTAATATTTGTTTAGTTCAAAAATTCGGACACGGATTCTTAAACATTTAAAATTAATTTGTACACCATCTGTGTATTCTAAAGTTTTTGGGAAATCTTTGAAAAAGAGTTGGATTAGACGACCTGTAGAGCAGAATATAGACAGAATAGAACCAAGTCAGACTGATCTGAGATCGTGAACCTTATTAAATTTTGTAAAAAAGCAGTGCATTTATATGAATTCATGGATTAGTTTTAAAACCGTAACACTTTGTAAATCCACTTAACACCTCATAACTTAAACGTAAGGTATTTTATCGCCACTTGCCCTATTTCGATAATAAGTCATATATGTTTGGTTTACATAACGGTATAGGAAGTCTATAAATCGTTCAACATTTCAAAACTTTAACCCGACTAAATATCCGATTACATAGGGTAGGCAATGCTTTAGTGTAAGCATGGCTTTATTGGTTGGGTTTCATACAACATGCTTTGAAAAATGTTAGGAAAAAAATTGATTATCACTTAAATTAAAAAACTCGATTAGTAGAAGAAATAAAAGTTAAATGCAAAGTTTTTTTTAGCTGAGTTTAGACTATAATTGCTAAATATCTAACGTGTCTAATATAATAGTAAAGCAACATTTTTTATCAACTTCGACTGTACGCATGGCGTAGCGGTTTAAGCGGTCGCCACGCCGCTTACTACTACGCCGAGTGTTGTGGGTCCGATCCCACATAGGGCGACACTCTGTGTGATCCACAAATTGTTGTTCTGAGTCTGGGTGTTCTTTGTATCCGTTTCATGTATGTTTGTTTGTTTGTATGTTTTTGTTTGTAAAGTCCCCCGTGACACAGGATACGAGTATATCACTAATGCGGGCGTTGTCTTTTTTAAATAACAAAATAAAAACAAAACTTGTAACTTTCGTAAAACTACAAAGTTAGCAGCTTTACCAGGACCAAAACTAGGAGTATTAATCGGTCATTAGTGAGGAAATTAAATTTAAATAATAATAATAATAATCTTTGGACAACTGACACTTGTTTTTTTTTATTGGCACTTTAGAAATACTCCATTTGTCAGATTACACAGTGACAAATAATAGCAAACTGGAAGACAACTATAAATAATTTTAGTATAATTATTGTATTCTAGTGAGATTATGTATCTTGTTAGTGTAAGATCGCTTTGAGATACACATACATGTAGGA